CGATCAATTGGGGTGAGCGGAGTGCAGTGCACAACCAATCAAGTAGTGGACACTTTGTGCAGCCAATCGAGTAGGACAATACGGTGTGCAGTTCATCTGCCATGATCTGAAAGAAAGGGACTGGGTATGACTAACTGTTGCTGAAAAACGTAGCGAGAATGAGATTTTCCGTGAAAGTGTCTCGCTATGTGAGTGTTTTTTTGGGAATGTGGCCGCAAGGGAATCGACTTCGTGCAGTCTTGCCTTGCTTAATAGACCATCTGACATTGATAAAGCGGGGTTCACAGTGGATTGAGAGATTGTGCGTGCTATTGGTCAAGTACTGTGAAAGTGGACCACATCAACTAACTCTTGTCCTACAGTTAACTAAAGCATCTTCATAAAAAATCATAAACTAACACAGTTCGAAGATTAGGCAGAATGCCTTTAAGGTGTGGAGCACAGGTTCCGTATGGCCTACCTGGATGAGTTTAAAGACTTTTGAATGATCCAGGGCTTAAGAGGCATAAAAAACGACGACTGAGGTCGTCGAGAGAACATGCGAAGGTGATAGGAGGAGCGAGGTCCCGAGAGGCGTGCCCTACTGCCTAACTACACGACTAAGGAAAAAGGGTGGTAATAACAGAAGCGAGGCTCCGAGAAGCCTGCCTTATTTCTAACCAGCCGTGCGTCAGCGCAAGTAAGCGATAGGAGGCGCGAGGCCACAAGGTTTGCCCTATCGCAATAAGTTAGCACGGGTAAGGGAGGTGGTGATAAGAGAAGCGAGCCTCCGAGAAGCCTGCCTTATTGTCCGTCAGTCGTGCTTCAATATCAAACAGCGATAGGAGAAGCGAGACCCCATGAGGTCTGCCCGATCACGACCAGACGCTCAGTAAAATGTGAGGACCCCGTGTGATCTACCTTTCCATGACAACTTTTATGAAGATCCCAGAAAAAGACTAACGAACTTACAATATCGATTTTCTGATTCTACTGAGGTGGAGGTAGAAGCTACGTGACACCCGCGGCCTAGGCCGCGGGCAATTCGGCTGCCACGACCGAAAAAGCCGGTCGCGGCTGCGGCCAATGAGGCCCTGTCCGCGGCTTGTTTTTTTCATATTTTTTTTATACTCCTAAAAATACGTTAAAAAAAATAAAACAAATATAGGGTTGTAGGGTTTGCAAAACCCTACAGTCCTATATTTTTATTTTGGAATCCGACCTCGTTTAAGATTTAAAAAAAATAAAAAACGGAAATCGATTTAAACAAATTATTAAAAAAATAAAAAGAAAAGCACAATTTTCTTTTGTCATTTTTCTTCATGAGGGAGATGGTCGCTGAGTTGTACTGTATTTTTTTAGAATTTTTTTTCGGGTTTGTGTCGGAAAATTGGGTGTTAAAAAAAAAATAAAAAAATAAATTAAAAACAAATAAAGAAAAAAAGAGTCAGGCTGGGGTTGGTGTGTGTGTGTGTGTTAGAGAGAGAGAGAGAGAGAGAGAGAGAGAGAGAGAGAGAGAGAGAGAGAGAG